TTCCAAAAAAAAAAAAAAAAAAAAAAAAAAAGAAGAAAAGAAAAAGGACGACAAATGACTTGAAATTACGATTAGGACTATACTTACCAACTCCATTAAGAAATATTGGCAGGCCACTACAAGTCAGATGCAACCAAAGGCGTTGATCGTTGACTTAATGACTTTTCATCACACTATGATAGTAACAGCAAGAAACAAAAAGAAATAATTAGTATTTGACCCATTCAGCACACATTAGAGACGCGGCTACTAATGATAATTAAAGAAATTAAGATCGAAATGCAATTTCCAATTGTCAAGCTCTCACTGAATTAACGACTCTTCTTTTTGTTTGTATCGTTTAATTACATTTTCCAAATCTGATATATTCATTCATCTCCGAGCAAATAGCCATAAACCAAAACCACGAGTCTTTCTTTTTTTCATCTTCGTTGTGATCATATTCTTCCCCATATATCATATATGGTTTCAACAATGAGTTGGTCGCTTCCTCGGATTGCTTTTTTCATGACGCTTTTGTTTTATGGATCCGGTGCAGGAGAACAACAGATCAGGTGCATAGAAGTGGAGAGACAAGCACTCCTCAAGATCAAACAAGATCTTCATGAAATCAAGGAAGGCTTTCTTTCATCTTGGGGAAATGAAGAAGAAAAGAGAGACTGCTGCGAATGGTACGGAGTTCAGTGTTCCAACAACTCTGATCATGTCATCGCTCTTGATCTCTCCCCTTCATCTCATGTTGAACGTTATGCTGTACTTTTCACAGAAGATAATGATTTCCGGTTTCTGCAAGGTAATATAAGTCCTTCACTGCGTGAGTTGAAGCATCTGACTTATTTAGACCTCAGTGTGATTAACTTTACGGGGCATGGCATCCCCAGTTTTATTAGCACTTTCAGCAAATTAAGATACCTCAATCTCTCTTATACTTTTGTGAGTGGAGAAATTCCTCCTAAGCTTGCAAATCTTTCCAACTTGGAGGTTCTTGATCTTGGCTATAATTCTCGTTTAAGAACAAGAAACGTGGAGTGGGTTTTTCGTCTTTCTTCTTTAAGACACCTCGACCTTTCTTACACGAACATGAGCCAAGCTACCAACTGGATGCAAGTAGTTAACAAGCTCCCTTACCTAACAAACTTGCAGCTACGTCGGTGCAAACTTCCAAATGTCACATCTTCATCTCTTTCCCGTGTTAACTCTTCGACGTCACTTTCCGTCCTTGATCTTTCCTGGAACAAGCTCTCTGTTTCTGTATTCCCATGGCTATTTTCCTTTGGCCGAGGTCTAGTTCATCTTGATCTCTTGGATAACGTGCTCGAAGGTCCTATTCCAAAAGCTCTTTTGAATATGAGCACCCTTGAATACCTTGATCTCGGTTCGAATGAGTTAGAAGGTTCCATCCCAGAAGCCTTAGGGAACTTGACTGCCCTTACATACCTTCATCTTGGCAGTAATCACTTCGAAGGAGAATTTCCAAAATCCTTATGGGGTTTATGCAAGTTGCGTGAGTTATATGCAGGACAAAATAATCTCAGTAACCTGAATCTTCCTGAGAATATTCAATCACTCCCTAGGTGCACACATCACTCTCTAGAGGCTTTGGATTTTTCTTACAACCGAATTATGGGGTCATTCCCTAATCTGAGTTTGTTTTCATCTTTGAAATCACTATGGCTTTCCTCTAACCAACTGAATGGAACTGTACCTGAAGCTATTGGACAATTATCACAGTTAGAATATTTGGATATCTCTGGAAACTCTTTAAAAGGTGCGATTTCGGAAGCTCACTTTTCAAAATCGTCTAAACTGTCTCATTTGAGTTTATCTGGTAACTCAATGATTTTGAACATAAGTTCTGATTGGAATCCTCCCTTTCAGTTGGATTCTATATCTCTTGGCTCTTGCAAGGTGGGCCCTAGGTTCCCAAAATGGCTTCAAACTCAAAAGAACTATTCCAAATTGAATATTTCATATGCTGGAATTTCAGATTCTATTCCAGATTGGTTTTGGGATCTCTCTAGTGAGGTTTATTCAATTGATCTTTCTCACAACCAAATTCATGGAACAACTCCGAATTCTTCAATTGAGTTCATAGGTTATCCTGAGATAGATCTTAGCTCAAATAAGTTGGAAGGTTCAATACCTGTTTTCATTTTCAAAGCGGGTGCCATAGATCTTTCAAGAAATAGCTTTTCGAAGCTAGACTCCATTTTTCAAGTCAGTAAGGATTCACTGTTGACTTTTCTTGATATTTCATACAACAAGTTGTCTGGAGATCTTCCTGATTGTTGGTCGAATTTTAAAGAATTAAGTATACTTGTATTGGCCAATAATAAGTTCTCTGGGAAAATTCCAGCCTCCATTGGCTCCTTAACTGGGATTGCAACACTGAATTTAGGCAACAATTATTTCACTCAAGAATTACCTTCCTTGAAGAGCTGCAAATATTTGGAGGCTATTAATGTGGCAGAAAACAGATTATTTGGACCAATACCTACATGGATAGGTGAAAGTCTGTCAAGTCTTGTTATTATTAGCCTACGATCCAATAACTTCTCTGGAAGCATTCCCTCACATCTATGTCATCTTTCAAATCTTCAACTGTTGGACCTATCTTCAAACGACCTTTCAGGAAGTTTACCAAAATGTCTCAACAATTTGTCTGCATTGAAAAGAGAGGGATACAGTGGCTTTACAACCATTTCCCACGATTATACATATGGTTCCAATGGATCAACTGTGTATAAAGGGTATGATTACCAGCTACAATTGGTATGGAAAGGAACGCTATCGACCTTCGGAAATACTCTGGCACTAGTAAAGAGCATTGATCTGTCAAACAATATGCTTAATGGAGAAATTCCAACAGAAATCACCGAACTTATTGAGCTGGTCTTTCTGAATCTATCAAGAAACCACTTAAGTGGACAAATTCCGCCAGAGATTGGTGATTTGAATTTGCTAGATGCTCTTGATCTATCAAACAATCAACTTTCTGGTGGAATTCCTTCAAGCCTCTCTCAAGTGCCCCGCCTTAATACACTGGACTTGTCAAACAACAATTTATCAGGCAAGATTCCAATAAGTACTCAACTGCAAAGCTTTGAGGTGAGACGAACCAACTGTTCCTACAGCTCCTAGTGCTCATGATGAAGGTGACGAGGACACATTCATAACACAAGGATTTTATCTCACCTTAGGCCTTGGATTTGTGGTTGGATTTTGGGGAGTTTGCGGCCTCTTAATCTTCAGCAAGACTTGGAGACATTCATACTTCAACTTCATCGATGATGTCAAAGATTGGATTTACGTAATGGTGGTACTGAACTAGGCAAAACTACTAAGAATGATCAAAAACTGAAGGTTATTGCTCTGTTTCATAAGCTACAATATTTTTTTTTATAACTCGGAAAACTAAAGGTTTTCTGTTCTACTGTTGAAAACCAATGCTAAATATTTTTATGCTTTTTCCTGAACCTCTAAAAGGAAATGGTCCGTGATTTGTTTTCCAATTTCCAATATTGTTTAAGAGATGCTCGGAATAAAGAGCGCGCTTTAATGCAGCTGGAGCTTTTGTCGTGTTGGAATCATGGTTTAGTCAGTGCCTTACTTTAATGAGATCAAAAAAATTTGGCGAACTCTTTCTCTTGAAAATGGTTCGTAGTATTGTGTGTAAAGAACCCAAAGTTTGTTTGTGTTACTAGTTATTTGTACTACAGGACTCTTGATGTTAAATAGCTATATCTTTTGAATTGTAATGAGTTGGACACGAGACTTTTGCGAAGTCAATTACTACTTTGTATGTTCAAGTGACTTCAACAACACTTCTGCTTGGTTTGGTCGTTTTGTTGGATGCCCAGGTTGCTTATTTGAATGTAGTTTCTTTCTTTTCCTCTTTCCTGGGTGGTCTTTTTGCCCACTAATTTTATATATCTGCTAAAATTCTTATTCCTTTTCTTACCGTTTTTTCTTCTTTCTCCACCTGCTGTTGTTTTTTCAGTTTATTGTCGTTTTATGGTTCCTGCCGTTTTTAAGGTTCGTGTCGTTTTTTTATGTTTGTGTCGTTGTTATGAGTCTGTCGTTTTCTCTTTTTCCGTAGTTTCTATTTGCATTGTGCTTTTTCTTATTGTTTATCCATTACTCAATCGTTTTTCTCTTGTTCTGTCCTCTATTTATTTTGACTTTTAGTGCCGCATTTTGTTTCCTGTCTTTTTCTTTTGGGAAACATTTTTAATAAATGCATCATCATGATGGCAATTCAGCAAATCATCACACTTTCCTCTAGAAAATAAGTAGTAGTATCATTTCAAAAAAAAAAAAAAGAAAGAAAATAAGTAGTAATTCCTTTCAACTTTTTTTTTTCCCTGTAAAAAGAAGAAAATTAAACGATGTAGTTATAGAGTGTTGAAAAAACATTTTCATCAGTTTGTACAACGAACAACTAAAATCATATCAAATTATAAAAAATATATAATAATTTATTGAGATTTGATCATAGAATTTTAACACTTAAAAATTACTATGCTTTACTTGTATTAAAATGAAATTTTCTCTCAAAAAAAAAAAAACATAACTGCATACATGTTATGTTTTATTCCTTTCAATACAACAAGCAGACTAACAATAGCATAAAAACATAACAAGTATTTATTCCCTTCCAATACAATTACAAGCAGACTAACAATAGCATAAAAACAACATGTAGCGAAAGGGTCTTGATCTCTTTCTTATAAATTCACATTTCACGCGATCAACGGATCATGCCTCCTTCCACGACTGGAGGCACTGCAACTCCACGGTTATTTGCGTCCACGTTTCCATGCCACCCTGTTTACACATTATTATTATTATTATTTTTTCAAGGAAAAAACCAACCACATCAAAAACGGTCCATCAGTCAAACCCCCACACTCATTACTGCATGTCATTTTTCAATTACATATATACGTATATATATATATATATCTATCGAGACAAATTAAATTTAGATCTTCTGTTCAAAAATGTTGTCTCAAATCTAGATCCTCTGTTCAATAAATGCTGTCTCAAATCTCCGTCATTGTCTACTGTTTTTGGTTTTGTTATTTTTTTTTATAGGGCATTTTCTATCTTCTTCTTCTTCTTCGTCTTTATCTGTTTATTTCATTTTATTGAAAACAAAACTCAAATTGTATCAGCCATGAAAGAGCCGGAGAAGAGTTCATCGGACCAAACGTGGGTCTCTCGAAGAAGACTTCAATGGCGGAGGATAACAAAACTTTGATTTACAATAAGAGTGTTGCGAATACGACTCTACAGATCCGACGACGATGTAGATTGGGCGGCTATCGGTTCGGAGTCTGAGCAAGTTTAATTAGCTATTTGATTTCTGTATTCTTTCCAACGTACAACACCCATGTTTTTCTATTTCCTAGAGGAGTTCTGGTTGGTTTTTTCATGCTTTCTTTTAAAAAAAAAAAAATTTTTGGTACCTCGTGTTATAATAAAACATTGAATTGGTATCTTATATTTTTCATAATGTTAAAATAGTACCTTCAAATTTCAGAAAGTATTGTTTTTAGGACCCTAAATTTTTTAGGACGTAAAATGATAAATTTACCCCAAAAACTCTATTTTTCCCTCTTCATAAAAACATTTTAGCTAGTTTCCGCTTTGTTCATGCCTAATAAATAGGTTTAGGTTACCCAAACAAACGACATTGTTTAGCAATATATAAGAGTTGTGTTTGTTACAGGTTTACAAATAAATATCTTTAAGTATTCTTTCAATATTAATAAAGGATAAATTGCATAATTTATGTCTTAAAAAATAAAAATTGGTTTAGGTTACTAAAAACTATTTTTTTTTAAATTTAAGGGTACCATTTTAATATTATAAAAAATACATAATACTAACTCAATATTTTGTTATAATACAAGATATTAAAATGATTTTATTATTAGTTTTTTGATAGAAGTTTTGGTTTGTTTTTCCCTTTTGGTGCTCTAATGGGCATTCACATACACACATTCATGAATCAATTTATAACAGAATCACACACTGGAGGCGGAGAGGGCTACGATCTTTATCGCATTAGACAAATAAAAAAGGGAAGGTTTTAGGATGTTCAAGATGAATTTGATTTGGGATCTTCCATTTATATTTCTCTATGATGCAAAGCTTGCCATTGAGGAAGCAGTGAAAATGTCGAATCAAATTCCAGCATCTCCATGGGACAAACTTTTTGTGAAAATGCAAAAATCCAACTGCACTGGGTTTATTAGGTACTTCACCTTTATGAACAATAGAGATTGAAAAAGTGAAAGTCTGAAACTTTTTTCATTTTAAAAAAAAAATTGATTCAATCCTCTGTTAAATCATTTACAGCCATTAAATAGTTTATGTCTCCAAATTATTATGGCCGTGTTTAGAATTGATCTCGTTTTTATTTTTTATGTTTTTTGAGAAAGAAAAAATGAAAACGTATCCAAAACGACGTTTGGCGTAATAAAGATAAAAAACGGAGAAGAAAATGATTTTTTAGTTTAATGTAAAATGAGAAAGAAATGAAAATTAACTTTTAGTTATTTTTTATTTTTTGTTTTCATTTTCTCATCTCTCAAGCAGAGAGAGACACATTAATAAATTTTTTTTATATTGAAAATAATCTCTTAAAAAAATTACCAAACGCATTTTCAAAAATGATTTATATCTGAGATTGAAAACGTTTTCATTATTATTTTCATACAAAAAATAAAATCATTTTAAAACGAGTTTCAAATGCGCCCTATATTTCAGTGCTAAAAAAGCTCATTCCATTTCTTTTTGCATTCATGTTTTGTATTCATTATAAATAAGACTTCATTGAAAAGCAAACGAGCACAGAAAAAGACGGGAAGGAATAAATTCACAAGGGAATAGGGTTGTTAATGAGACGGGGCGGGATGGGCGGGGCCGGTTTCTAACAGCCATCCTAACAGGCTAACAAAATATCCTTGAAGGGAACCTACACCAGTGCAGCAGCCATCGTAACAGGCCAACAAAATTTCAACCAAAATCAAGTATTTAAAAAAAAACAAAAAAAACAAAAAAAAGAAGACTACTGTGAAGTTTCTTTAACCAAATTTTATGATATCACAAGATCCTCATAAATCAATAGCCAGAAAATCAGAGTATTATTATTTTTTTGGGAAGGCAAGTCAACCAAATTCAAAACCAAAAAATTCTCAAGCAAATTTTAGTACTTTGACTACCAAATAAACAGAAATGAAAAACAAAAACAAAAAAAATTAACGGGACACAAACTTTGACCAAGAATAAAACAGAGACTTAGCGAGAGATGTTGAAGATGAATGAATATTATAGAATAAATAACCAATTCCCATGTTGAATCCCTTGTTCTGGAGCTCGCGGTACTCTTGGCACAAGGCACAGAGCCCGCAGAAGCAGTGGACCAAGCAATCACCGCAGGGACTCTCCTCCAGACCGTATTTCTTCCTTATCTTCGACCTGTAAGTACACGAGTAGCAGCACACGACTCCCGCCCACAGTAAAAGCAGGTACAGCGCCCCACTCGCTACACATGCTGATCAATTCACGGTTTTTAATAGTTATATTTCCATTATATATTTTTAGAAATTGTCTCCAATCTAATATTTAACTAAAACGGTACTTGTATATATATTTTTAAAAAAATATATATTCTAAAACGTATATTTTTTCTCATGTACATTTTTTTATGATAAAATATATAATATACATATTTTAAAAAAATATATATACATTTTAAAAAAAATATGTAAGTATTGCTCCAATCTAGTACCAGGGAGACTTAACCTATATTTTTATATCTCTTCACAAATTTTCATTGGATAAATATTATTTTAAAACATTTACATCCACATATATGTGTGTAAAACTAAAAAACTTACATGTGGCTCCTTCGTCCACGATCTCAGCAATTTGGCCAAAGGTAACGCAAGGACACCAGTAAGTTAAGCAGCCTAGAAAGAAAAACAAAAAGAGGTCAACGATCAAATCCGATTGTTTAATTTGCGCTATTTGGAAATTTGAAGCTTAATTACAGCTTTCCCAGTCGGAGAAGCAGTCGCAGAGGCCAGTCGACCAGGGGCCCGGAGCACGAGATGAGTGCATGATGGTTTCTTAAGGGCAAAAAGCAGATATTGTTGTTTTAATGGGAATGAAGATGTGGATATGAGACCAGAAATGTGGAGTGGAAACAGATGGTATTTATAGAAAGCTACCTGGGATAAAGAAATGATAGTTTAAGGATTTTTTTTTTTGAGGAAAAGAGATTGTTTAAGGGTATTAAAGGTTATATTATTGTTTATTGGTAGTTTTATATTTTGTGTAAATTTCTAACCACAAACCGTATCTTCTTGGATTGCACTAGTCACTCTGGTTTCATATTGTAGTTGTAGATAGTGTGAATTTCTCATCATATAATAGTTTGTACAAGTCTTTGTCGTGTAAGTTTGTAACTTAAGGGCCGCTTAATTCGCTGATTTGAGTTTTTAATTTGAGTTGAGATGTAATTTTATATGAGAGTTTTTTACTGTAATAAAAAAGTTAAATATTACTATTTTTGAGAACTTTTTACTGTAATAAAATTTGAATTCTAAACTCACGAAATGAACGGATCTTAAGTAAGTAATCGTTGTTGTTAAAAAAAAAAAAAAAAGTACTGTTGTTGTCGGATAGTTTTGTTAGCATATGATGGTGAATTTTCAGACGAACGCTACCATCAAACACAATAAATAATTTTTTTTAAAACATTTGTTATGAAAAGAGTAAAATCAATCCAATACTTAAATTGTGACGTTGGAAACTTTTATGTTATAGGATTAAAAAATCCCTGGGCCGTGAATAGATAAAGTGACAAGTGGCCATAAGAAGAATTGAAGTTAGGGAGAAAGAGAAAAATAGACCAAGACTTGATATGAATTAAAATTAATAGGCCAATAGTTTACGTAAGTTTATAAATAGGCAAAATTACTATTTTCGTCCATAACTTGTCTGGTTATGAACCATAACTTGACAAGTTATTGTCCATAATTTACGATTTGTGTCCATAACTTGTATGGCTATGAACCATGACTTGATAAGTTTGTCCATAACTTATCTGATTATGAACTATAACTTAATAAGTTATGACATATTAATTTCTATAACTAAAAATTGACTTATATACTTTTTTAAGCTTTTTATATTGACTTATTTTCTACTATTTTCCTTGAAGTTAAAGGCAACCGGTCGAATAGGTAATGACAATTAATGGAGAAAGAAATAAGAGGACAACGATCGTTTAACTTACTTAACAATTGATAAAAAATAAAAAATAAAAAAGATTGAGGACATTCTTTAGTGTACCCGGCCAAGTTTTAAAACTTATTCCTTTGTGTTCCTGGATTTGTGTATGAATGTGGGAAGCCTAATGCCATAGATTTGTAGTGATCGTGACATAATAATGAAGACATATAACACATCTTATGAAGACGGTCGCTTGACCAAAGAGCATCATCAACAACATATTTTAAAAAACATAATCTATGACAAATAAATCAAAATTAAATTAATAAAAATAAATTAATAACATTCTAAACAAATATTAAAGGGTTGTTCTTTTCGCAACTCAAATCACAACTCAAATTTTATTACTACAATATTTACTCTTATAAAAATTTAAAATAAACTTTTTTACTAAAGTATGTGTTTTACTCTTATATACACAATTATAAGTTCCAAACTTAGAGTTGGGAAAAGAATAAAACTTAAAGAGTTTCAAAAGTCCTTGTTTTTTCACGGTTCTAGTTTCGACTTTCATAATAATAGCAAAGAAACGATGATCGCATCATTGTAGGATGTGTGACATTGTGGCATGAAGATGGTCTTTTGTCAATCTTGCGGTTGGAGTTTGGGAGTGACGATGTCGTTTGGTTACATTCAAGAGTAATTGCCAAGGATAGTGGAATTTGATGTGGACGTCCACTTACCAGTTATTCAATTCCTTATGTCGCAGACGAAAAAGACATTTCAAAGTTTTGCAAAAGCTAGCAGCACAACGGCGTTGAGCAAGAAAAAGAAGAAGAAGAAGAAGAAGCTAGCAGCGGTGTGGTTCATATTGCGTAATACAGTAAAGGCCAGAGTTCTTTTTTTTTTTTAAACAAAAAGAAAAAAAAAAGAGAGAATTGTACTTTTCTAATAATCGCTGAGCTGAAGTACACGATTATATACGTAAAGTTTACGACTAGAATGCAAGGTTTTGTTCATTTAATCAATTTGAGTTTTTAATTTTAATTTTATTACAGTTAAAAATTCTCATAAAAAGTTAAATTTAATTTTTTTTATTACATTAAAAAACTCTCATATAATATCATATTTTAACTCAAATTAAAAATTTAAATAAACGAACTGAACGAGGTATTGATAAACTTATGATACATAAGTGTAAGCACGAAAAACTTACGAATGGTTTAGGATCGATATATTTGCAAAAGTCACCATCAAATGATTTTTTTTTTTTTTTTGGCAGGAGAATGATAAAATATATTTTCTTCAACTTGTAATTGTCACTTTACTAAACAATCGTTCTTTTTATTGCACAATCATTGGGTATTAGTAAGGAAAAAAAAAAACACTTTCTACCAAATAGTTAAAAGCAAGGATGAAAAAAAATCGATATTTACGAAAATATTGATACTTAAATTTTAAAAAAAAATAATGATATCAGTGAAAATTAATGTAAAAAATAGAAATTCATACTAACACTCTATTTTCTAAGACTTTAAAAAACTTTAAAATAGATAATAATCTACAGTTGATATACCAATTTATTACACAGACTTGATCTTGAAAGTCGTTGCTGTCAATCTTCTCAATTTAGTTTCTTTTCGTATGTATATTTAACAAATAATTCATGATTGTCCCTTTATCTTTCGAATTGACTCTGTACCTTTGAATACCACTACACTTCACTACCTTTAAACTTTGATCTCTAATTTATCTGATCTTATTTCTTAATTATAATTCTAGTTATATATGTTCTCTTATTTCTTGTACTTTTCAATTTCCTATATATTTTAAGGTTTGCTGATCATCAAATTCTAGTATGATAGTTGGTATAAAAATACAAAGGGAATACAACAGCGGAACAACCCTACCGACTAATGCATCTCTTTCTTTTTTTGTGCCAAACAAAGATAACAAAAGATGAATTGAAATAAAAGATCAAGAGAGGATAAACATCATCAGATATCTGAATTCAAATTAGGAGAGGATAAACCTCATCAGATATCTGAATTCAAATAAAAGATTAGATGTCGATTAGGATTAATAATTCTCCCGAATTCGGGTATTCAAATATGGAAATACAAATTGTAAAATCCTGAAATTAAAGAAGATATAGTGATCATCATCGAGAAATTAGGGATAAGAGTCTCAAAACCCAGGAGAGCCTATAAATAAAAGCTGAACTCCTATTTAGTCTTTTACTATTTTTCTACTCCAAGAGAGATTGTAATTCTGAAAATATTAGTACATCCACAAGTGAACGTAAGTAAAGAGTTTTCTGTCGAACCACTATAAAGTTTGTCTTTTTAATTTTTCTGCGATTACTTTCTAGTTAATTTTGAGTGAATTCACACGCGAGTGTTCTTGTAGAGGTCAAATTCTAAGTCGACAATTTTTCACCGTCAACAAAAGGATTGATGACTTTTAATGATTCTTTTTATTTTATGGATCGAATGCATAGGAGATCCAAACGTAATATGAGTATACATACATAAATTTAATTGTTAAAAAACTACATGCCTTATTATAAAAATTTCAGTTTTGATTAATTTCTTTTTTCTTAGAACTTTGTAATTGTTTCCTTTGTGAAATTGGTAGACACTAAATTATAATAAATTGGCTAAGCATTCATACAATTTTCCTATTTACAATCTCTACAGCTTACCCATGAGCGAACTCATTATTCCCAATTAGAAGAATCTTCCTCTTTTGAACCTTTTTTTTCCGCAAAAAAAAAAAAAAAGAAAAAAAAAGACGACAAATGACTTGAAAATTCTGAATAGGAAGCTTAAACGTAATTGTGGGGGTAGACGATGACTTGTGACTTTCATCGCACTATAGTTGCCAACCCCACTAATAAATATTGGGCATGGCCCCAATTCAGAAGTCTTGACACTTGGCAGGCCACTGTTGGTAGATGCAACCAAAAACTCATGCAAAAAAATAAAAAGAAAAGAAAAATGACGACAAATGACTTGAAATTACGAATAGGAAGCATAAACTTAAATGTGGGGGTAGACGGTGACTTTGACTTGTGACTTTCATCGCATTATTGTTTTTAGAAATATGACCCTAATAAAACCTTTTCTTACCTATTTACACCGTTAAAATAATTTTTTAATGTGCCCAAATTTCCTTTTAAAATCTTATATTTACTGTTTAAGTATTTCGATCATGACGCAAAACCTAGTTTACTTCGACTTTTATAGAGTGAATACATACTTGGTTTGCTTTTTTTATTATTTTCAAGGAATTGTTTTTAAAATGTTTCTCGTCAAAGTATTTTTATTTTTTGATTTTCCATTCAAAAATCTTTTTTCATTCTTGCAGATAGAATCGAAGGCGGAGGACGTGAAGGCTATCTTAATTGCTGTGTATGTTTCCTGCACTTCATGTACATTATACATTGTATGCCGTTTTAACTGCTCACTGACTCATTGTGTTTCAACCGAAGACTTTGAGTACTTTTGAATTTGATTGCACTGTATGACAGAAGAACACCACTATGAAATAATTTAAATTGACACGTACTTGCAGCACACAAATGAGATGGTAAAAAGATTGATGACTTTTCATGATTCTTTTTGTTTTGTGCATCAAATGTATAGGAGATTTAAACGTAATATGAGTTTACATACATAAAAAACTCATCTAACAATTACAAATAATAGTTTTTATCAGTGAAGTAAAAATACATGTCTTATTATAAAAATTCCAGTTTTGATTAATTTCTTTTTTCTTAGAACTTTGTAATTGTTTCCTTTGTGAAATTGGTAGACACTAAATTACATATTTTTCATTAATAAATTGGCTAAGCATTCATACAATATTCCTATTTACAATCTCTACAGCTTACCCATGAGCGAACTCATTATTCCCAATTAGAAGAATATTCCTCTTTTGAACCTTTTTTTTTTCCGCAACAAAAAAAAAAAAAAAAATGACGACAAATGACTTGAAATTACGAATAGGAAGCTTAGGGGGCGTTTGGTATGTAGGAATCAGTAAGAATCATATTCCCAAGAAAGTGATGGAGGCTAATATGATTCCTAAGAATAATACATTATTGTGTTTGGTTTCATACAGAAATCTTTCTCAAATTCCTAAGAATATTACATTACTGTGTTTGGTTGTGCATGGAAATGTTGTGAATTAAAAATTTTTTTTTTTAAATGAATAATAATAATAATAATAATAATAGTAAT